TAAAGATGATTCATCAGGCTTCACATTCAACTACTGCATACGTAGGACTAGACCCTCAAATTTAGCTATATGAGTTACCATGTCATCAGACGAATCCATGCTGAAATTGAAGAATTCCGATTGAACAGTATGCGACGCTTGCTTCGTCTGTTGTTCATAAATTGCATGCAACTTCAACCACATGTCTCGCACCGTCTCACATGAGAACAGAAGCGCCATTACTTTTGTATCCAGCGTTTTGACTATAATTTGACTCGCAGCACGGTCCGCTTTGTCCCACGTTTTTAGACTCTCTCGATATTTTATCTGTTGCTCGTTTGTTACATCGTCTGCCGACGGCATCGGCTTTAGGATTTCCCCGATGCACGCTTCGTATGCGCCTTCGGTTCCGCGCAATAAGTTCCTCACGGTGAACTTCCAGACGTTCCGTTCTCTGCACCTCGTAGCTTCTCAATTGCTTGGTAATATTCCATGTTCAGATCGTCTTTCCGTTTCAACTGATATCGTTAGCGACACACGAAACTGCGACCGACTTACACAAGTACACACCACGATCTTTTACACACGTAATAGCAACACGAAAAGAAAACTACGCGGAACCACGCTCTGCTACCATGTTGAGTTTTTATTTCGAGAGAACTTAAGTAACAAACGTTCAATGTTCGCACGCAAAAACAAAAAAGAATAAAAGTGAGTCTCACACGAGAGAGCCTCTGTGCTTGATAAAAATACATCCGACTTGCTACAAGAAGGGAAAAAGACTAACGTACAGGAAACAGTTGGAGCCAACCTTGAAAAACGAAAAAAAATATTACTAGACAGACAGGCTGGCAATATACAAATTAAAAGTTTTATCTCAACAGTAATACATTTAATAATTACTGTTTAATAATTTTTTAAACAGTATTTATACATAAACTAATTAAAGCATTATAATATACAGCATATATATGATTTAACCTAGACAATGTATGTCTGAAAGACGTCTTAAATACATAATAAAGACGTTTTTAGACATACATATTGTCTGGCAAAATGTCTTAAAATAGACATCAAAAAGACGTCTTTAGGATTTTACTTAAAGTCGTCTTAAAAACGTATTTAAGTAAAGTCAAAGATGTGTTTTTTAAGACGTCTTTTGGACGTCTTTAAGACATACGTGTTGTCTGGGTGGTTATACTGTGGGTGCGTTCCTTTTGGACGCTCATACGTTGTAAGCGCTCACACTTATAAGCGCTATTTCTGCCGTTCCTTTTGAAATTTAAGCGCTCATACGACTGTCATCAAAGCCGTTCCCTTTGGCATTTGTGAGTGACTGTGAGCGTATCGAGATAGCAATTGAAAGTGATATGATTATGTTTTATATAATTATATTAGCAAATGTTGAATTAGATATAATATGTTTTATAATAAAGATTGAATAATATTCTTTTTACTTATAATTATATAGCCATTGCAATTATCTGGATATACTTTTATCTATTTTTCCTCTCCTTTTGCTCCACCGGCTGGTGAATTATAACGCCTTCAACTTTTTCACAAAGGTATATACTATATAGCGCAATACTTTTATCTAAATCGCATAGAGATTATGCAGTTGTCTATACAAATTTTGGTTATGTGCGTTCCGATAATACAATGGCCACCGTTCTCTTTGGATGCTTATACGCTTATAGCGCTCACGCTTTCGTTGCCTTACCTCGATAAAATGAGCAATTTTAAGCACGAGTCATGACGTAATGATGACGTCATGAATGCCTTTCATGAGCGCTTATAACGCCAAAAGGAACGGTATAAGCGAAGCTTATAATAGTCCGGAGGCTCATCGCAGGTTTTTTGGGCATCATAGTATTCAGTTGGAGACCCATATTATTTTACTATTCCAGTGTTAGAGACAAGAGACCAATTGGCATACGTGTACAGTGGATGTACTTGTTAAGAACAATTTTTTAAATAATTATTTGTATGTACAACGAATAAAATATTACAGTATTCAGTCTGCCAGTTGTACCAATCTCTGAAGAAAGAAAAAAATTCGACGTACTATAATTGGCATACCTCTAAAGTGGATGAAAGGGGTCGGTATAACGGCGCAAAGTGAGCTCTTAGGGTGAAGTCACATGGGATGCGGAACTGCGGAAATACGGAACTGCGGAATGTTCGTGATTGGTAGTGGCTCACACCGCCGATTCCGCCGTTTTTTATTCCGCAAATTTAATTTTTAGCGGATTCTGTCATTTCCGCCGATGCGTGCATGTATGCGTATATATGCATACTTGTAAGGCTAACCTAGCTAACGAAGCCCCTGAGCAAATACTTTCTGATTTAATTTTTCAACAAACCGCAAATAACAATAAACAATTTAT